GAGTTCCCGCCCTTTTGCCACGTGCTGGACCGGTCCTGACATCTGAAAAACATCGACTTCGAGGCCCAACCTTTCGGCCAGCGAAATTTGGGGAGGCGCACCCATGTCTTAATGCCCTTGTACAACGCCTGAGTATATGCCTGTCGCCCGTCGGATTGTTGGGTACAATTTCCAGGCATAGCTCTGTAGGCGCCAATGGCTTTGGCCGCTTCCATGGTAGAAGGGGCCGATCCATGTTCAGCGCAGAGCTTGTTCGGCGTCTGAAACACAGTCCTACCCTTAAACTTGCGGAAAGGGTTTCCAGATTGAAGTTCACTCCTTTTTCAACACAAATTTCAACCATTTTGCGAACGTGGGCCTTTTCACCTCTGCTTTTGGCTTCTCTGACAACCTGCAACCACTCACGTACGGCAATGTATTCCCATGCGCCCTTACTCTCCAGGCTATTCCATTCAACATCGATTGAGTGTTGGGCCTCAGGGTTGCTTTCAATCTCTTTTCGCCCCACTGGTCTTGCAACCATTGCGTGAATAATTGAATGCAAATGGGCTTGAAGAACCTTGCAACGGTGTTGCCCAATCTCGGGATCCGCAGAGATTGCAGGCAATACCACAACATCTAACAATTCCTCCACGATCTTCTCATTTGAATGGTTCCCAACGCAAGGTGCAGTAGGCATAAGGGGAATATTCGAAAATCATCCTCCAGCCCGTGTTGTGCTGCAAAAATTGCCAGAGGCTTCCGGGCTCGGATACTGGATCATCAGGAACTGCCTTGCGAGCTCTCTCACGTTCTTCCTTGATGCTGGCAAGTCTCCGCTGCTGCGTTGACATGGTTTTCAAAAACAAAGGTGGAATACTGTCAGAACCCAAATACCTTCAAGCCTTGGCACCCCCCGCATCATAATAGGGACCTCCCTCTTTAGGAACAAGCTTCTGATGTGGGTTCCCTTGCGCGAGTATCTTCAATAAGCTTCCCAAGGTTTTCGGCAAGCTCACCTGGCGTTTCTGCCGGCAAATCCTCCTCCTGAAGTGGTGATCCAATGCAACTGGATCAGGCGTTTTGGGAGCATATCGACCCCTGGCATAATGCAATTCATGTGCAATAAATAGGAGAAGAAAATTCGCCAGCTGGACATTTGATCCTCAATGGAGCAACCGGTTGATCATAGTCCTTCTCCATCAAAAAAGGGACAGCGAGGAACTCATGACGCCAATCAAAGTCAGGATGAATCAAACTTCAACGGCTTGTGCGGTCGATTCTTCGGGCCAGTCGAGAAATTGACTTGACAACGAAATGGTAAATACGGTCCAGGAAAATCTTCACCGTAACGTACCTTCTAAGGGGAATGATAATCTGGGTGGTCAGTGATGTTCTGTGCCACGCAATAATGTCTGGCCGCATGTGGCCAATATGAGCGGTGTAGACCAGCTTGTTCGAGATTCGCCCTCGTGCCCTTGATGGTCGCTCCAACATTCCTCTCAGCAATGGCGTTCGTCTTGGAGATGTAATTGTACTTTGAACATGCTTCCATTCCATTTGATCCACAGCTTTTACGAGTTCGGGTGCCCGATCGCTGTAGAAAATGGTCACACACTCTCCAGTTCGAACAAAGTGCTTGAAGGCCATTACGCATTGATGTGCGGTTTTCCGCGCCGCGGTACTCGTAACGGAGGTCAGGAGCAACATCTCGAATCACGAGCGCAACCTTTGACTGGTCAATACCAATTTCATTGTCATCCGAAGTAATAAGATGATCCGCCGTAAGATGATGGCCAAATTTCTTAGCCTCGGCTTGAGTGGACCCCCCCTTTCGCCTTGATGGGTACTTGTACATGTTCGCTCTGTTGCAAGTCTCGCAAAAGGGGTTCTTGGGAGTGTGACACATCAAGCGCTGAAGGGATTTGCCTCATCTCGCAACGCAGCCTCACCGCGTTCACGAGCAGCATCCTTCACGATTGGCTTTGATACGAAATCGGATGCAATAATTAATCTTGGGCGTTTCGTCGTGGGAAACATCAGGGCTTTCCTCCGTGACCTCACCTTCCGGTTGGATCGTTCCCGAGTTCATCCCCGTCGTCCTCATTTGTCATGAATGTTTCCTTCAAGTTCTCGGGTTCTTCATCAATGACCAAAACCTTGTCCTCAAGCTCTATCGGAGTTGATGGCAAAGTTGTGACCTTCGGAATGTTCTGTGAAAAAGCTGGAACAGCCTTTTTGGTCTCAGAAAGAATGAACGGTACATTGTCCTTGACCTCAAGCTTGATGGGTAGCCTGAGATAAGGTCTGTTATGTGCTCTCCAAACAAAATCATAGCCATCTTTAAGACATCTCATACCCACAAACAACACGGCAGGAGTTTCATCAAGAGTGTATGGCCGAACAACACTCTCGGTCTAATTACTTGATCTTGACATCTGCTTGCTCCATACCGAAAATGTTCCTGTTTGCAGCGGCGAACTTCAACGGCCAAGGTGATTCGTACATTTCCACATGTTGTGCATCAGCTCTTGAAAGCAAATCCTGGGCAGCACCGGTATCCGCAATCCATGGAATGTGAGAAGAATCCATTGGCAATCAAGCAACATTCGCATTTCTTTTCGGAGGAACATCTTTGCGCCCTTCTGGGCCGCTAGGCCTGCGGGAATGCAGGAGTCACAGCCGAGGTCAGAATCGCACTGACCGTCGACATGCAGTCTTTACGCCCTTCAGCCATGCACCATAGCTTCATGCACGACACCTATGAGCTTTGCATCTGAAATTCGGAACAAAGTTCACCGGAACGGAAACTCTTGTGCAAACCTTCCCGACGAGGCATTGAAAGGCCAAAGCTTGCCGTCAGTCTCATAGCTTGAAATAGATGGGTACTCCAGGAAGTGCACACACTTCTTGACACATGGCATTCCCTGCAAAACGTTGTGACTCACACTAGGCAGGCAAGGATACGAGGCGACCGTGCTTGCGGCGCACACCATTGCCTGGAGGAGGCACGCTGCTGCATTGCCCCTTCGACGAGCGTGGAGACTTCAGGGATTGAGGCCCCTTTGAATCTTTCGAATCATGAGAAGATTGCCTGCATTTGCCTGCTGCTCTTCTTCTTCTTCTCCCGGCGATGCTTTTGGTGTATCTCCACTAGTGGTCTTCTCGGCCTTCGGGGCAGGAGTGGCTTTGGAAGTTGTTGGGCGCTGCCACGGCAACGCCTTGAAGAACTTGCATACCTGAGGCTTCGATCCTGGAGGACTAGACTCTGCGAACGGTACTTTCTTGGGGTCTGAGGTCGCGAGCCGCCCTTCTTGCCCTTCCCCTTACCCTTGGGAGAAGTGTCCGTAGCGTCGTGAACATCGAGTCTTCGTCCTCGATCTTTTCAGTGTAGCCTGTTGCGACGGTTCTACTTCGCACGCCTGTTCCTTCCTTTCTGTGGACCCATCTTGTAGGGTTGCTTCTTTGGTGACGTTGTCGCCGACTGTAGATGCATCTACTTCGTCGTAGACGTCATGTAGCTTCATTTGGATTGATTCGTGTTTCATTCCTTCTAGTAGTTGCGCTTCGTCATAGCCTTCACTGTCAAAGATTACGGGCTGGTCTTCTGAAGCGTCGTCGTTCGTGTCGGAGGCGATGGCTGTTCCGTTGGATAGTACTGCGTCGGCTCTCTGTCGTAGTTGTTGAGGCTCTTTGGTTGCTTCTTCCGCTGATCTGATTGTAGTGTCCTTTGAGGCCTTCTGTGCTTTAGTTGGTTGCAGTACTTCTTCCGGAGTCATGCTTCGTAGCGCTTGTCGATGCGGTGCTGGTATAGGTGGGTGTTGCCGGCCGGTCGGTGAAGTAGCCATGGGGCTATCTGGTATAGTGGTCGTGAACTTGTCGCCAAAGTCGACGGAAGTCGAGGAGGTGACGTAGCGCGTTGTTGTTTCGTTGCGGGTTCCGTGGCGGCGTCGTCCGTCACGTTCGTCTGTTGTCCAGCGTCTTGTGTGGATCGCTTCCTTTCTGACGATTGGAGCTGTGTCTCCAACAGTGTTGCGAATGACGGGTTGTAGGTGTTCCGTCGTTGGCCCGCAAGATGTGCCGGAAACCTTGTTTAGTAACGCCAGGTCGTATTTGAAGTCCGGCTGTAGTCTCCGTACCGTTCTTGCTTTCAGCACGCCTTATTCTTATTCTGTTGCGACGTAGTTTGCTCCGGTTTTGGAAACTTTTCCGAGCCAATGCATTTCTGCATTCGTAGGTCTGCTTTTGGAAGTTTCTTGTGTTGTGGTGGGAGGTAAAGTAGTGTCTCGCCAAATTCGCAATTGCTCGCTCGTAGTTTCTTCCCAGCGGCATTCGAAGCTTGTGAAGCCGTCGGAGTGGATGACGTAGCGACCTGCCGTCAATGCTGCATGTCGTACTACCCAAGGTAGTAGACCTTTGGTCTTGTTGAGTAGCATTGCAATCTTTACTCCATCTGGTAGTGCTGCGCCGTTGTCTTTCTCAGAATTTCGCATTGTGCACTTCATTGAATGTAGGTTCCGGTAGTTTGGTAAGGTAGCCAACGCTTCGTGTTCCCACTGGTAGGCTGAAGCAAGAGTCGTAGTGGTTCACATCCACTTGCGTTGTAGCGGTTTTGCCTTACTACTGTAGCTGCTGCTCCCTGGCATATGTTGATGAGGATGTAGTGTAGGTCTCTAGCGAGGTCTACTGCTTTGCTTGCTTGTGTAGGGTCTCGAACGTGTGCTCTGATGTCTGCATCCCCAATTTGTCGCGTAACTACTTGTGCAAGTTGTAGCACAAGGTCGAAGTCTCGGTCTATGAGTCCGAGATACGCTTGTAGCTTGAACGGCCATTCTTCATACTGGGGGTAGAACGGCGGTGGCAGTTTGTATTTGTGTAGTCTCTGAACATCATTGTTAACACAAACAAACCTGGTGCGCACAGCTCCTATTTTGCATGGGCTGTGGATGTAGTAAAGCTCAAGGCCTGCGGTCATAAACAAGCTATGTAGTACAACACCGCATGTACATTGACAGCCTCGCCTCGGCGCGGTAGGCGTCGGTCAGGCGCTGGCACAGGCCATCGCAGGCGCGGCGGCTGGGCGCGTCCAGCAGCTGCAGCCCGTCCGAGACCCAGCCACAGTCAGTCAGCCTCACACAGGGTGGGGGGGGGCTGGGGTGGGGGAGGACGCAGGGAGGACTGAAGCAATAACGCAAAAATACAAGAAAAAAGTACGTGGCGCGCACACGTACCAACAACCAATATCATAGGAACCGTGCCTGGGGTTAACCACGTCATGCACCCGGCTCGGCTTCAGTATGTCCGACAAATCCTGACTCACGCGCTGGACGCCAAACATCTTCACGGCAGGGTCAAAATTACTTGCTTCCACCAAGAGGACATGCGTGTTTAAGTTTGGTGAGGCCCCTGCTTTTGGCAGGAAATTTGGCTGCCACCGCAATGTTGAATTAACATCAAAGGAGTCATGCCCGCGATGGCTCCCACAGCTCCTTTCCGTGAGCACACGCACGGAGTTGCAAACTCCTGCGCCATAAAACCAGCTTGCTACTTCAGTATCTTTACTCAATTCGTGTGATCTTGCCTCCCTTATCAGCCCTCTCCTTGCTGGCAGTGCAGCCCTGCGCATTGATTGGCTCGCTCTGAGCGGCTCAGCTCGGCAGCTCGTCGCAATCCGGTAGAATGTCCAATCGCTCGTTGACTCAAGGTGCACGTTGCGCAAGGCGTTTCGCGTGCTCCCTTTTGCTTCTGTCCAGCTGCGCCTCCCCCGGTCAAAGCGGGACGAATTTGTGCTTGAATTGGCTCGTGATGCCTCATGGCTGGGGAGCAAGAAAGGGCTACGCCCCAAACTGGGCATGGCTTGCGGGCACGCACTCGCGGCGCTTCTTGGATGCGGGCTCACTATCACTTTTATCACCTTCAAGTGCATCAGTCAGAACTTGAAGGTTGGGATCCAGTAGGTGGGAGCCGCTTCTGCTGTCGTAGACGTGCCATTTCTGACTCCCACCGTCTCCTGCATGTTGGAAGCCTGGAGTGGCTGACGCAAAGGCGGTGCAGATCAAGGAGTCTCGCAGGCCGTCCCGATCGATAACCCAGCGCGTCTGCTCCCTGCGGATGGCCATGGTAGAGTTTTTCTTCCTGAAGGCCGGCCACGCCTTGTGCGTTTCGGGGCACAAAAAGTAGTCCCCGGCGATGTCCCCGTTCTCGGAAGACGTGGCCCGGCCCACCACGCACAGCTTGGAGGGCGCCGAGAAGGCACGAACGTTCACATCCAGCGCCGCACGACTCTGCTGCGTCTCCCACACGTACCACTCCAACTCCAGATGCCCTGGGTGGAAACTGTTCAGGGCCGCGGCAAAAGCGCTGCACTCGGAATTGTCTTTAGATAAAGCCCAGTTCAGAATCCGGCCCAGGATCCCAGGCTCCGCCAGAGCCTCGAAGTCGATCAGCCACCTGAGCAGGCAAACCCATGCACAAAGCCACAAACTGACAAACTGCCCCGCCAGGCCCGCCTGTCTGAATCTGCTGCGTACCGAATCACAGCTTTCTTCCCAGGGAGCAAGTACAGTGGCCTGCCTTCCCTCAACCCGGCCAAGTGGTAAGTGCCACAAATCCGCGCATTGCATGCCTGCCAGGCAGAGATCGGGCATGAGTCAAGTGGTGGACCAATCCCGAAAGGGCAAACATCAGAATGTGAGGTGTTGGGCTGAAGCACGCGCAGCAACACCAAGCCTGGGGGTGTCTTCCAAGGATGTGGATGGCTTTCGGCGCTGCCAAGCAATGAGAACTGCTATCTGCAATCCACTGTCCCCGTTCAGCATCCCAAAAATGCCACTGCCTGAGTTGTTCGTGCAAGTGCAGGAGAGCAGGAGTCACGCAGGGGTTCGATTTCACTTGTTTCAACAAGCTGCAACTGCGCATAACCGGGATGGAGGGTGTCCATCGCTTCGGCATAGGCCAGGCAAGTCGTACCTCTGTGCTCCTTGTCCGCAACAAGCCACTTTCGCCCTTCGGGGTGGTAGCGAATAATCATACCGTCCTTGGAGTAGAGAGGATAGCCGTCACTCAAGCCTGGCACATCTTCACGCTGACAGTTCGTCCCCATACCCATGGACTCAGGGTCAAACGAGACCAAGGCTGCACCGGGGCCGGGGGATTCTCTTTGGGTGCGGATTTATTGTTGAATTTGTTTCGTTCTTCTCTCCTAAAAAACGTCTTGGCCAGAAAAACCACATTCTCAGCATCATAAGTTCCTCTCCGGCGAGAGTTTTTGTGTGGAGGTAGGTAGCCAAGAAAGCTGCGCCTTCGAAGATACACATATGTTGGTTGCAAATTCGGCCAAGAGTGCATGTATTTAACGGCTGCGCCCCAAATAGATGAGAAGGACATAACTGTCCTAACAAATCGGAAAAAGGCTTGCACGCGTTTCAAGCACATCACCAAGGAGACATCATCTGCGTCCGAAGCTTCCCAGAGGGAAAAAAGGACTATGACTCCTCCTGGCCGAAGGGCAACTACAACAAGAGAAGCTACCAGTATAGCCCGCAAAGCCGGGAGGCGGAAGTTTCTAAAACGCATGCGACTTATAGCATTTGCATTGTTGCTGGTTTCAGCGGGGGTGCCTTGCTCCTTGAACATGCCATGTCAAGAACATTGCTCCCAGAACCTCCCAGCCGCACTTCTTTTCAAGCAAATGCTGCAGCACCTCGCGGCCTGAAACGGCACGCGCTCGGAAATACGGCAGCTTCTCGCATCTGATGCTCGCTGCTGAGTTCTCACGGCCGCGGCTTGAAACGGCACGCGGTATGTCTGGGGCAGCTATGTCGCGTAGCTGCCCCGAAATCTCTGCCCAGCCTTGCGAAAGTCCTTTTGAGATTCTCGAGCTGCAGCTGGAAAAGTGCACTTCGAATACTACTTTTGTACTTATTTTTTGCAATTTTGGAGCTGCAGCTGGAAGAGTGGAATCGTACCTTCGATCACGAAATACTGCGCCCGCCACGAAATCTGCACTTGACCTTGAGAAAGTATCGCGCCTGCCACAAAATCTGCACCCAGCCTTGCGAAAGTGCTGCGCCTGCCACGAAATCTGCACCTGACCTTGCGAAAGTGCTGCGCCTGCAATGAAATCTTACTCGACCATGCGAAAGTGCCGCGCCTGCCAAGAAATCTGCGCCTGAACTTGCGAAAGTGCTGCGCCTGCCACGAAATCTGCATGCGCCACCTTGCGCGCCCGTGCCAATGGGATTTGCGATGCGTCCGTGCCAGCGCTGCGGAAATGCTGCGCCTGCCACGAAATCTATACTTGGCCTTGCGAAAGTGCTGCGCCTGCCACGAAATCTATACCTCGGCTCGCCAAAGTGCTGCGCCTGCCACCAAATTCTATCCTTGCGAAACCTGCGCGCGGCCGTGCCAATGGGTCCCCGTCCGAGACCGTTCCGAGCCCGTCCCACATCCGCAGCAGCGATTTCCTGCACCTTGCCACGCTTTTGCGCATTCTCTATCTTTTCGCGCGCTCAGACAAGGTTCTTTCTAATCATCAGCTATCCTTCAATTAGTTTCCGTACCACGGAAGTTTCTTCTAAACTTCCTTTGACAAGGGATACCAGACGAGTTGGGGTTGGATCAAAAATTGCAAGCCTCCTCAGGCAGTTGCGCCATCCGAAACAGAAAGGTCTACAACGCCCACACGGTTCATTTGGCCCTGGTTAGGAGTTCCCCCTTAAGCGCCTTCTCCAGCAGAAGCGGTTCGCCGGCACACAATTCGCTTGCTCAGCGCGCCATACCCATCCAATCCAGACTCCAGACTTCAGACTCCAGACTCCAGCACTTCAGGCTCCAGACTCCGGCCTCTAGGACAAGATCCGATGTTGCTTAGCACTAATCAGACGCGGAACCTTCACACGACGATGAAGCACACTCCTCCATGTGACAAGATTACACGCAAGGCATTCTCTCTCTCTCTCTCGTTAAAATCGGCGGTTACTTTGCTTCCAAGTGCAAGTGCTGTAGTGTTCAAACAAACAGTCAACCGATTGTAGTCTGCAGCAATCCACCTTTTACACATGCGATGTAGTGAGCTCAAGGCCTGCAGTACATGCAACAAGAAATGCAGGAAGTGAAGCATGTAGTTTGACACGGCCCCTCAGTTAAAAGGTCTTTGTAGTACCTTTTCAACTGAAGTGCAAAACATGGCTTGACAGTAGTGATGAAAACCATTGTTGTTCATCAATTCTACTGTAGTGACAAAAGTAGTAACCTGCACTCAGTAGTTCTCGCTGTTCAGGTTCCAGCTCGATGTAGTGCGCTGGACGGAAGTAGTGAGGCAGGCACTTGTTGTTGTAGTAGAGCATGTGCTCAAAGATGTAGTCCCCAGTTCTGAGTGCGGTAGTCTTGGACCTTCTGTAGTCGACTGTCCAAGGTCGCAAAGTAGTGCGTGGTGAAAAAGGTTGTCATGTAGTTTGGTGCTCCTCGTAGTCGCTCATCGTCGATTTCGGGACATGACATGTGCTGGTTGTAGTCCCTGAGGAAGCGGTGTAGTAGCGCCTTGTGGTGTTGTGTGAGGTTTGTCATGGTGAGTCGTGTAAATCCGTAGTACTGGATACTCTTGCAGAGAATTGTAGTGATTGCCTTGTGTTGGTAGTCGTGGAGTTGGTCTCTGTTGTAGAGGTAGTGGAGTAGCTCAGGTAGTAGTAGTGGCATGTGGTAGTTCCAAAGATAGTTGTTCCTGAGGCTGTAGTTGTCGGTGAAGATGGTCATTTTGTAGTTCACCTTGTAGATGGTCTGTGGCAGTGGTGTAGTTGGGAGGTAGTAGTACCGACATCATGTAGGAAATGTAGTCTCTGGTGAAGTGGATAAATTGTCCTGAAGTGAGGTACCTCAGGAGTAGCGGTTGTTCAATCTGCAGTTGGATGATGACGTAGTTGTTGTTGTCGCCGGTTGTAGTGTGAAGGGAAGTCGTATGGTAGTAGTGCACGTTGGCTGCTTCAGGTAGTGAAACGCTGAGCAGGGTGGAGTTAGTGGGGCATCCGAAGGTCTCCAGGGATGCAGTAGATGGGTTGTGTGTAGTCCAGTTGTGCAAGTGGAGTTGCTTGTTGATGTGAAAGTAGTTGATACTCTTCGAGTGTGAGTGCAGTGAAAAACTGTGTGTAGGGTGTGTTGTCGGGCAGTGGTGGTGTAGTGGTTGTCTGGTGCTCAGTGATGTGTAGTTGGTCCATCACTGTGGTCGGGTTGGAGTAGACTGTGTTGCCAGGCGTAGGATGGTTGAAGTGGTAGTTGGAGTCGTTGTAGGTTTGAGGTGGTGGAGTTCCATGGTCGCTGGAGTCCGTAGTGACAGCCACCTCCGGTGTAGACGCCCTGTCGGGTGTAGTGTAGTCGCATCTCCCATCGTAGCATCTGCAGTAGATGGAGCGGCCATGGCTGCAGTGGAGTGCGAATGTAGTGAAACGGGGCAAAAACAAAATGAGCCTGAGTAGTTGCTATCAGGCAGGCGGCGCATGCAAACATGTAAAACAAACAACTGTAGTGTTGACTCAGCCGCGAAAAGTGCAAGTGCAAATACATGTAGTTACTGTTACTTACATACCAAAAGTGTCGTGTTACATGTAGCTACTTACATGCATGAAATGTCCAAAGTCGTTGTTGTTGTGAAACTGCTGCGCTGGTCGTTCGTAGTGCTAAATGCGTATTCCAATGCTCTGGATGAGCCTGTGTAGCGTTTCTTTGCTGATGTATTTGGTAAACAAATCTGCGCCGTTGTGGAGTGTGCTGATCTTAAGGATTCTGATGATGTCAAGCTTGATGAGGTCTTGTGTGTAGAGAAATTTATAGGTCGATGTGTTTTGCTCGTTTGCTAGTGCCTTGTCGTGTGGCAATGCTCTTGCCTGCTGTGGAGTCTGTGTGGATGCGTAGGTTTAGCTTGCTGCAAATGTTGGTTTCAAGTAGGAAGTTTCTGAGGTGTAGTCCCTCATTAACTCCTGTGCAAATGGAGTAGAGTTCAGACTCTGCTGAGCTGAGTGCTATTGTAGCTTGTGTTCTGCTGCCCTAAAAAGATGATGTTGAAACCTGAAGTTGATTTCCTGGTAGTAGGGCATCCTGCCCAGTCGGCATCGACATGAACGTCGAGATCCAGGATGTTGTTGGTGTTTGCTCTGAGTGTTGTTGTTGGTTCTATGGTGAATTTGTAGTGCTTGGTGCCGTGCAAGTAGCGTAGTAGATGTTTGACTCTCTTTTGTGAAAGTTCTGTAGGTGCTGTGAGGTCTCGTGCTAGTTCTTTTGTGGAGTATGCAATGTCTGGTCGTGTGTATGCTAACCATTGAAGTTTGCCAACAATCCTTCTGTACCTTTTGTGTTGTTCGTGGTCAAGTAGTGCTTCATCTTCTATTGTTGGTTTGTAGTGTGCAATTCCTGGAGTGCTCACTGAGTTGCAGTTGTTCATTCCAGACTCCTCGATCATGTTGTCGATGTAGGAGTCCTTTAGTCCAAGATTGCAGTAGTTGCCAAAGTGGTCGATGTTTCTTCCAAGAAATTGTTGTGGTTTGCCAGGTTCGAGGTAGCCGATGTGCTTGAGTAGGACCTGCTTCTGGATGGCCTCGAAGGTGGAGTCGACAGTAGTCTTGTCACCAAGTACCAAGAGATGATCATCCACGTAGACCATGATGTAGCAGTCGCGAGTCGCATTGGTGTAGACGTTAGGTTCTGACTTTAGTCTTACAAAGCTGAGCTTTTGTAACACTTCAGCCAGGTAGTCCTGCCATGCTTTTGGTGAACTGCGTAGTCCATACATGGCTTTCTTTAGTCGCCAGATTTTGTCCTGTTGTGGACAAAGTTCTTTAGGTGGCCAAAGGTAGACGTCACGTTGTTTACCGTCGTGGTCTTTTGCGATGGGTGCGTGTAGAAATGCTGTAGAGACGTCACCTAGTCGCGCGATCCAGTTTGGTCGTGACATTTGTAGTGCGAGAAGTGTCCGGAGTGTCGTGAACATTGGTGTAGAGGCGTAGACGGAGTCTTCGTCCTCGATCTTCTCTGTGTAGCCTTTTGCGACGATTCGGCTTCGTACTCCTGGTCCTTTCTTT